GTCTTAATTCCATCAGTTTTAGCTATCACCACATCGATTTCCTTAGTGGCTGTACATACCTAAAGGTCCACCAGCAATGGATGAGAGTTCCTGTTTCCCCACAGCCCCTCCAACACTTGTTGCTTTCTGATTTATTTGAATTGGTCTATCGTTGAGGGTGTTAAGTGGTATCTCATTGTTGTTTTAATTTGCGTTTCTCTTATGGCTAAAGATTGGGAACATCTTCTCATGTTTATTGGCCATTCGGATTTTTGCCCCTGTGAAACTTCTGTTCAGGTCCTTTGCCCACCTCCTCAGTAGGCAATTAGTTTATTTCTTTTTGGAATCTCGCAGAGTATTGTAGAGTATAGTAATAAGGCCTTTGTGTGATGTGTCATTGCTAAAGATGTTTTCCCAGTCCATGGACTCTCTTATTATTCTCTTGGTGAATTTCGATGTACACCGGTGTTTTATCTTCAGTATAGCCCACTTGTCAATTTGTGCCTCCTCTGTGTTTGTGTCCTTCCCTATTTCTGATAGCCTCTGTATTGCCTGTGCCAAAGTTCTCAGTTTGGTCCCAATTTCCTCCTTGATGGCCCTAATAGTTTGGGGGGTTCTCATGTCTTTGTTGTAGATGCTGTGTAGCGTGTCTGGCTAACTCATCATCTTTCTAATAGTCCTGCTGTTTAACACTTTAAAGAGGTCTTGTGCAGCAGGCTTGCCCAATGTAATAACATCGTTTGACTTCTTCATTGTTTCTTCTATGTATGTGGATTTTGGATTTAAATAAAATGAAATCCTTGATTTCATTTCAGTTGTTTCTCTGCTTATCATGATGTTATCAGTTGGTCCAGTTGCGAGGATTTTTATTTTCTTGGCACTGAGTTGTAATCCAAACTGAATGCTGTAGTCTTTAATCCTGTTCACTATCAGCCTGCAAGGTGTGTCATCTGCATATCACGGGGTGTTAATGACTCACCTCCAAGGCTGTGTGCTTCATATAATTCAGCTTCTTGAGTTATTTGCCTAGTATATAGATTGAGTAATTATACTAAACTGGACACACACTTTTGCTAATTTTATACCGTAGAGTAACCTCTGGTTCTGTTTCAAGAGCTGCCTCTTAGTCTTTATGCAGGTTTAATGTGAGCACATTTTGTTGTTCTAGAATTTGTATTCTTTGCAGTGTAATTCATAATTTGTTTTTCCCCAAAGTCTAGTGCAGTGGTTCTCAACTTTTATAATGCCGCAACCCTTTAATACAGTTTCTCATGTTGTGGTGACCCCCATAACTATAAAATTATTTTTGTTGCTACTTCATAACTGTAATTTTGCTACTGTTATGAATCGGGCAACCCCTGTGAAAGGTCGTTCGACCCCCAAAGGGGTTGCGACCCACAGGTTGAGAATTACTGGTCTAATGCTTTTGTATAGTCAATAAAACACATAATCAATGAACATCTTTCTTTTATTCTCTGCTTTTTTTAGCCTTGATTCACCTGACATCAGCAATGTCCTCTTCTGAATCTAGCTCAAAATTTGTGCAACTACCTGTTGATGTATTCCTTCAAATTTTTTTTGAATTATCCTCAGCAAAATTTTACCTGTGTGTGATATAAGTATTTTTCAGGCTGAAAAACTTGGTAGAATTCTTCACTTCATTCATCTTTGATTTTAGTAGTTGGTTACTATATTTGAATAATTGTTATATTAACTTGTCTTCCTTCAGGCATTTGGGTATGATCCTGTCACTAAGAAGATTATATGTCAGGATAGATCTTGAATTTCTCACTATGA